GGGTGGCGGTGGAATGAAATAGATACTCCAGGAAAAGGCAGGATCTGTCCAGATCTTTAAGGGCCAAGGAAAGGCCAGGTAGGTGGGGGAGGGGAGGGGAGGAGACAGCTGGGCTTCCAGACACCATCCATTATCATAGCCCCCAACTCGGTGTAAACTGCAGACTACTGTGGGCTGATTACTCACTGCTGGGCTCCACTGGCCAGAGGAGCAATACAGCTGGGCTGGCTCCTATGTTCAGAGCACCCACAGTCAGAAGAGCAGAGTTCTAATGGGGTGGGGGCAGGGGGAATCCCCAAGGAAGGTGCAGATGTGCCAAGATGGGAGGGATAGATGGAACTTCATGTATCCTCTCTATCACCTCTCCACAGCACCAGACCCCACTGAATATGGGAATAGCACCACTACCACCCCACACCCTGACTTCAATGGGGCCCTGGTGAGTTGGGGGTATATATACGGCAGGAGGGCAGCAGGGATGTTATTTAGGAGTCCACATGTAGCAGGTGGAGGGTCCCAGATCCCCAGAGGTGGCAGGTCAGGATGGAGGTTGGCATTGGAGAAACCTAAGTGCGAGAGGTCAGAATACCAACAGAACAATTGGAGAGACCCAGAACCTCAGGAAAGGGGTAGATGGTGGCAAGTGTAGGGGGTCAGGATCCCCATAGGCCCCTCAGAAGGAGGAAAGGAAATAGCTAGGAGCCCAGATGTGGCAGGTGCTTGGGAGGGGGACTCCAGATATGGGAGGTATGGGGGACTGGGAGTCCCAAATGTGATATATGGGGATCAAGGTAGAGGCAGGTGTGGGTGGGGGGATTAGGAACCATGGATGCTTCTAAGGTGGGGCTGGACACGATCCCCAGATTCAGGGAAGTCACACCTGTCCTGTCTTGCAGTCTAAAGAGGCCACCACTGCTATCATTGTGGTCTTCTCCCTCCTTGCCGCCCTGCTTCTGGCTGTGGGGCTGGTGCTGTTGGTACGGAAACTGCGGGAGAAGCGGCAGACGGAAGGCACCTACCGGCCCAGCAGTGAGGAGCAGGTGGGTGCCCGTGCGCCACCACCCCCCAACCTCAAGCTGCCTCCCGAGGAGCGGCTCATCTGAATGCTGGGGACTGCTACAGCCTCCATCACTGCCCAGGACTGCCTAGCACCTGCTCCCACACAGCATCCACCACTGAGACACTAGCCTCTAATGGCTCAGTTGGACTTGGGGGCCATGGGGCACCAGCCGGGCGGGCTCTGCGAAGCATGTCGCCTCTGCATGACTCTGCCTGCAATTGGGGGTGCCGGTGCTAGGGACCCGCCTTCCTGCTTGCTGCATCAACCCCCCACAGGACCGACAACTCCACTCTCCTTTCCTTTCAGTTCTCCCATGCAACCGAGGTCCAGGCTCCCCAGGACTCCAAGGAGACAGTGCAGGGCTGCCTGCCCATCTAGGTCCCCTTCCTCAATCCATCTCCCTCCCTTACTGTGTGACCTTGGGGGAAGGCTAACCCCTCTCTGGGTCTTCAAACCCATACAACCCAGGGTTTAAGAATAGAAGGGGAAAAGGTGCTTCAAAGACTCTGCCCCTGAGGGCAAGGGAGGGTGGGGCTGCTCACTTTTTATATATATGTGTAAAATTGGTAGTGAGATATAATAAAACCTTTTTTTGAGCTGGTGGAGGCAGAAATTAACCTAGATGGAGGAGATAAATGCAGGGATCATAAGTTGTAGAGGGATGAATTGTAAGGTTGTGAGGATCCTAGAGGCTGGGAGGGTTTCCTGGAAGGGAGGGCTTTTCACTACCCCTAAGAGCCAGCTGGAGGCTGCCCCAGTGGGGAAGGTGGTGGATGGGGTGGGTTTCTGAACAAAAAGAGAGCCCCTAGGTAAACTCACCAGGAAAAACCAGCTTTGGGCTCTTGAGACTTTATTGAGAGAATGGCATCTTCTCCAGATGCCTGATCCTTAACCTTCAAAACACTTTTTAAGCTCAGCAACTCTGGGGCGGCTCCTGGCCTGGGGCTCCTGCCAGTTGCTAGCAGGTGTGGCAGGGGATCTGGGGGTTCCTGGCCCCTTGGGGGGCTGAAGGTGAGCATGCTCTGCTCTAAGGCCCTCAGAAGCCTGGGTTCTGGGGTTCTCTGGAGAACCAGGATCCGAGGAAGAGTCAAGGGGTTGAGATGTCCAGGTGATATCTGAGTTGGGCTTTGTGGGTACCAGAGGTTGAGGGCTCTCTGGAGGGATGGGCTGGGTGGGCACTGTGGAGAGGTGGGAGCAGGGGCTCTTCTCAGCTCTGGGATCTCTGGCTGCCTCATGGAGATGGGGGAGATGTTGGGTTTGATGATGGGGCTCTGTGAAAGAGGATTTGAGGTCCCCTCTGCTGCTTGCGTCTGCAGAAGCTGTTAAAGATTGGGATGAAGAAGTGATTTCTTGGCTGGCCTCTGAGGGTGGCTGGGGAGTGAGGTTCTTTGAGGAGCTCATGGTATCTGGAAGCTGGGGGGTTTGCAGAGATGGCAGGAGGGCAGGCAGGGACTGGAGCTCGGGCTCTGGGGGGTCCTCCTCATCTGGCTGCCACCTTGGTCTTCCTGGTAAGTTGGGCTGGATGGGGTTGGGGAGATTAGCAGGTTGCTGGACTTTAGAGGGGGAGGGGATGGCAAGTTGGATGGGCAAGTGGGAGAGGGCTGGAGGGCTCACCAGACTGAGGCAGCTGTCCAAGTCCCCTCTGTGGCAGCAGTCTAAGCTCTGGCTGGGCCGTAGGCTGCCTGTCCTTGTGGCTCCCGTGCTCAGACTGTCTAGAATCTCACTCAACAAATCCAGTTCTTCCCCAGACCCCAGGAAGCTGCTATCCAGAGCTTCCTCTGCCCATGAATCCTGGGCATCCTCAGGGCCCAGAGTGGGTGTCCTGCATGAGGATAGGTAGCCTCAGATATCTGCCCCAAACCCCCAGCTCCAGTCTGGTGGCTCTGGCATGTTTGAAATTTGGGTACCATCTTCCCCATTAGTCCTGGCCTCCCACTTCCAACATTGCCCCTCCTCTGCCTTTGAGCCTTACTCCTCTCCCAGGGACTCAGAAGGTTTCTCTTCCTGGTGCCGGAGTCTCCTGCTGGGCCGAAGGGGCCGGTTCTGCAAAGGACAGGTTTGGAGGGGCGGGGCCCCAGGAGTTAGAGTGGGGGGGAACTGTGTGAAGGAGGGTGAGAGTGAAGAGGGCACCAGATACTGAGGCACACGAGGAGGGAGGCGAGCTGCCTAGATGGAGGTTGAGGATGGGAGGCGGACTTGGTGATAGTTCCAGATGTGTATGTGTGTCCAGGAGGAGGTGGGGCATCTTACCTGTCCAAAGTGCTGGGTGATAGGCAGGCGCTGCTGCAGGTGATCTGAGCGGCTCGTGAGGGATAAAGCCCTGAGGGAGCCCCCCCTCTGCAGTCCAGAATCCCTGTCCTAGGAAGAGTTTGGGTGAACCAGGAGCCCCTTTCCCACTACCCCCGGCCATTGGCCATTGGCCATTGGCCATTAGCCTTACCTTGTACGTCAGGAAGCTCTGCATTCCCTTCAAACCACTCTTGGCCTATGGAGGAGCCAAAAGAGAATTAGATTTGAGGTGATTTGCACTGGACATTTGAGAACTCAGCCCTCTGTTTCCTAGGACAGCTTTGTCTTGCCATCTATCTGTTCATGTTTGTGTCTCACAAATATATTCATAATTTCCCATGCAACACTTAAGGAGTCAATATAAACTCTCTCCCCTTTGACTAATACAAAAGGAATATTCCTGGGGAAATAACTCCCAAATGAAGTAGGGGGTGGAAAAAACAGGACATAGTAAAAATGTGTCCATGTTTAAAAGCCGAAGGAAAAATAAAATTGAATGGACAATTTGGAGCTGCAAATTTGGCCTCAGGAAACAGGCTTGGGAGAAAAAAACCACAAGAATAGAAGTGGAGTTTGCAGTGTCTGAGGAGAAAAAACAACCAACCAATCTTGGTTGTCAATTTTAAATAGGAGAGAAATTATCCTGACAAAAATGAGAATGGTGAATGGAAAATAAAAGTGGGAAAAATTGTTAATGGTCTAACTGTTGATTCAGTTGATAAAAATGTTCGCATTTTAAATGTAGAATTAAAATGTCCTCTGTCACCCCAGTAAATGGCCTATCTAGCCCAGCCTCACCGAGCGATACATGTTTCTGACAGCTGGTTGGGTCTTGGCCTTGACGGAATGCAGGAGGGCACCACCACCTTTCTGGGAAGACAATGACAGAGAGAGGCTTGGGCATCTGGGGTTACCCCAGACTCCACCTCACCCCAGGATGTGTGACCCCAGACAAGCCCTTCTCCCTTTCTGAGCCTCAATTTCTTCACCTCTATAAGTGAGCAAAATGATGACTCTACTTGGGAACGGTTGTGGGATTAAATTAATCCAATAATAAACTAAACAAGTATTAATACCTTTAGGTTGTCTGCCCAGAGCTGGTAGGAGCGAAGGTTGCCTGGAGTGAGGAGAGAGCATGGTCATGGCAGGCATGCCCAGGCTGGGGTGCTGCAGGTGGGGTGGGGACTCCGGGCTAGGTTCAGGGCTCACCTGAGGAGGCCCCGCTGCAGGTGATCTCCTGCTCAAAGGGATCTGAGAAGCCCTCTCCTGCGTTAAGCTTCTCCAGCCGGCCTTCAATGAACTGGGGATGAGGGAAAGGGTCAGCGAGTCAGACGCAGGGCTGCCACCAACACATTTGAATGCGAGAGGAGTAGGAGTCCTCTCGCCCTCAAGAAGTAAAAGTCACTCCTGACCCCTCTAGGCCCCCCCTCCCCCAGGACCCAGGAGGTCTCGAGCCCACCTCTGGAAACAGGTCCGGCAGTCTCCCCGCCCCCCAGGCTAGGACCTGTCCTCTTGGGCCAGACCCCGCCCCTCACAGGGGCCCTTTCAGACCGACCCACCTCTCAGTGACCCTGGAAGAGGTCGACTCCACCTTCAGGGACCCTAGAACCCATGCCCACGCTGAAGGACCCTGTGGAGTCCAGCCCACCTTCTTCCAGGAGCCCAGAGCCGGACCCCGCCGCAGCCCCCTCCCAGGTGCGCAGGAGTTTCCCCCCCTCCTCTTTCCCCGCCAAGGCGGAGCGCACTCAAGACACGCCCCTTCCCAAGGCCGGCAAGTACTCCCACCCCAGATCTAGGAATTTGTCCAATCTTTATCTCCCCAGGGTCCAGGGAGTAGGTTTTGTCCCTTAGGAAATCAGGACGGGGGCTCTCATCTTTAAGAAACCGGGTTCAGTCCTGCCTCCCGACCTAGAGTGGGAGATCCGGCCAAACCGACTCTA